AGGTTGTCTCTATAACACAAATGTAAATTGATTGTCTCTTTCGTGAATTCCTCGGTTTATATGAAACTAAGCTCAAACATGTTTCAGAATTTAAATTTTATTTCTTTTTTTTTCTCAAATTATACAAGTTCTAGCAGCTTACATTCAGACAGTAAAACTGTTTTAAAATTTAGTTTAACCACGATATTCTATTCAGATTATTATTGCAATGGTAACTATTTTGTTATGGTCTTTGCAGAGATGAAATAACTCTTTTAGTGTTTAATATACTTTTGATGTCTTGTCTTTTTTTTTCAGGTTTGATAAACAACTCATTCTAACAAAGCAACTTGATGGAAGGGACACCATATCTTCATTTTATGTTTTTCATTTTCAACGAATGATTATTGCTTATAAAAAGCTTTCTGTTTGAAATTTCATTTATATTCGCATTTATTTTTCACAATTTTCACTCAAAAGTTTAAATTTTCAAACGTTTCTTATTTAATGTTTACGATCATTTGGCTTTCTATATTTCACACATGCAAATTATCTTGATTATAATATGTTCAGTGATTTGCAATTGGATACCTGTATTTTTCTTTTGCAGTAAATAAACCATTTGTCTTTTACTTGTGTCACAAACTGCCTGAAATACCGATTTTTAAAAATGAAATCACAATAAATATAGAAACTAGATATAATTGTTTGATTGGACTATTATATATATTTTTAATATCTTTATATTTTTTACGAGTATTGTTATCGTTTGCAATACAGACATAACAAAAATAATTATGTAAAAAGGCAAATATGGCAGAATTTGTCAAGTACGATACACAATTTGAATAAATCCACCATATTTTGAATGATTCCTGACAAGTTTGAAGTTATTCAGTTTCAGCCTTATATACATAAAATTCTTCAAGCCGAAAAAATGCAATAAATATAATTTGGTTAGATTAGTCTCTAATCGTCTCATTGAATAAAAATATTTTGACTATTTTGTTCTTAAAATCGTAAATTAGCAAATACGATGTATAAAGTATAACTAATCTCTTCACCTGACTATTTCACACACTCATTTTGAATGGAATACTTCATCGATCTTGCATGTATATATCTTGAATGGAGTACATGATCGATCCTCGTGTATACATGTCGCATAAACTCACCTTCAGTGGAATACTTGATCGATCCTCGCATATACATGTAGCTGACAATAATTGATCTGCTAAATTACTATTGATCTTTCTCTCAGACTCTTTAATTGTAGCTAGAACCTCTATGTTAATATTTAGTGAGTAAAAAAAATAAAAAAAATGTCCCTGGAAACTTTGTACAAAATTGTAAACAATTGTAATTACTCTCAGAACCTATCAATTTCTGGTCGTGTATTATAACGGGTATGATGGGATTTTCATTAATGAATATACCGGTTCTGTACACTGAAATAAGGTGGGTTTTATAAAGGCAAACAGTCTTAAGATTTCAAAGTCCATTATACTAAATTACAGAATAAGGTGGGTTTTATAAACGCAAATACTCTCAAGATTTCAAAGTCCATTATACTAAATGACACATTCATGCAGGAAATAAACACATTAATAAATTCATCAAGACGCATGTTTAATCATTTGATAGTTCAAAAACCTATTAATTACTTTTCTTTAATTAATTTCGAGAATTACAGAAAAGAATTTTCAAATTTGAGTTTCGTAAAGGAAATGCTAATGATGATATACATGATTGTTAATTAAATTTTCTTGTTCAATACAAGTTATCTTTGTACACATGCGAAAACGGATTGTAATGAATGATTCTAAATAATTAATTTTTAGGGAAATGTTTTATTTTCTTTTTTGATTAGTTTTGACTCAAACCGCAAATTATTCTACATTTTAAAAATATGTAATTCCTTTCTCGTCGCTGTGAAATTAAAAATTCAAATATATAATACATTAAACCTGGTAGTAAGAAAATTGTCATTTAAAAAATGCTCGAGAGTAAACTAACCATTAGTAGGTTATTATTATTATTATTATTATTATTATTATTATTATTATTATTATTATTATTATTATTATTATTATTATCATCATCATCATCATTATTATTATTATTATTATTGTTGTTGTTGTTGTTGTTGTCGTTGTTTTTCCATTGTTCCATTGGAAATAAATAAAAACTCTTTAACGATTGTTTCTTGTTACGAATTTATGTATTAAAAAATGTGAAATAGTGAATATCGTATTACTACGCTCATTGAGTTTCAAAACCATGCGAATCAAACACCAGAGCGTGCGTTTCTAGATAGTCCATGTTTTTCTCTATTTCCAAGGACTTCAAGACAATAGCCGCTTTTTTACCTGAGAGGTTCTTAAATGCGCAAACACTACGGATTATTATGCACTAACCAACTAATGACCACACACGAGGAATCTCTAATTTCACATGTGTGTGTGTGTGTGTGTGTGTGTGTGTGTGTGTGTGTGTGTGGTGTGTATGTGTGTGTGTGTGTGTGTGTGTGTGTGTGTGTGTGTGTGTGTGTGTGTGTGTTTCACATCTGAGTGTTTCGTAAGTCTTTTTGAACCGTATATTAGTACTTCACGTAATGTCACACAAAACATGACACAAACACCTAATACAAATTTCTTTTCCTCCTACAAATTACTGAATGCATATACTCAAAATATCCGGTTAAGTCCCTGTTAAGAAATTAGGGAGGGTCCATTATACGAAATTAATTCATGATGTCATTCTGTGAATTATGACGTCTGCTCTTTAAAGTGGCTATTTGCTGGGAGTTGAGAAATATTTTATCGATTCCGACTCCCCATAATCGACAAATTATCATTACAATCCAACCAACCTATTAACGAAGACGTAAGTGCCAATAGCATATACCTTATGTTTATTAGGGTATCTTTTCTAATTATAGTTCAAGCAACAGCTCATTGCAATAACTTTTAAAGTTTTGCAATACGTATCTCTCAGTAACTTCTTGGGAAAATGATGACCTTATTTCATTAACAGCAAGTTTGAAAATTATCCCTGAACTGCATTAATTGGCCTCACATCAGCGAGGTGCATCATGGGTAAAATTACGTCTCTTTCGTACTTTAAATATGACGGAGAATGATATATGTGTGGTTAACAGTATCGGAACAGCAGGAAAAGTACGTTTATTCACTAAATTGTGTGTTACTACAACAGGAAAAGTACGTTTCCTCACTAAATTGTGTGTTTCCGCACTAAATTATGTGTTACTGCAACAGGAAAAGTACGTTTCTTCACTAAAGTGCGTGTTACTGCAACAGGAAAAGTACGTTTCTTCACTAAATTGTGTGTTACTGCAAAAGGAAAAGTACGTTCCTCACTAAATTGTGTGTTACTGCAACAGGAAAAGTACGTTTCCTCACTAAATTGTGTGTTACTACAACAGGAAAAGTACGTTTCTTCACTAAATTGTGTGTTACTACAACAAGAAAAATACGTTTCTTCACTAAATTGTGTGTTACTGCAGTAGAAAAAGTACGGGTTTTTTTTCCACTAAATTGTGTGTTACTACAACAGGAAAAGTACGTTTCTTCACTAAATTGTGTGTTACTACAACAGGAAAAGTACGTTTCTTCACTAAATTGTGTGTTACTACAACAGGAAAAGTACGTTTCCTCACAAAATTGTGTGTTACTACAACAGGAAAAGTACCTTTCTTCACTAAATTGTGTGTTACTACGGCAGGAAAAGTACGTTTCTTCACTAAATTGTGTTACTGCAACAGAAAAGTTACGTTTCTTCACTAAATTGTGTGTTACTACAACAGGAAAAATACGTTTCCTCACAAAATTGTGTGTTACTACAACAGGAAAAGTACGTTTCTTCACTAAATTGTGTGTTACTACAACAGGAAAAGTACGTTTCCTCACAAAATTGTGTGTTACTACAACAGGAAAAGTACCTTTCTTCACTAAATTGTGTGTTACTACGGCAGGAAAAGTACGTTTCTTCACTAAATTGTGTTACTGCAACAGAAAAGTTACGTTTCTTCACTAAATTGTGTGTAACTACAACAGGAAAAATACGTTTCCTCACAAAATTGTGTGTTACTACAACAGGAAAAGTACGTTTCTTCACTAAATTGTGTGTTACTACAACAGGAAAAGTACGTTTCTTCACTAAATTGTGTGTTACTACAACAAGATGGGTACGTTTTCTCACTAAATTGTGTGTTACTACAACAGGAAAAGTACGTTTCCTCACTAAATTGTGTTACTACAACAGGAAAAGTACGTTTCCTCACTAAATTTTGTGTTACTACAACAGGAAAAGTTTCTCCACTAAATGTCTGTGTTGCTGAGTAGTAAGAATCAGGGGTTTTGTCGATGACATGGATGTTATTTCAACAGTAAAAGTATTTAGGCCATTAAGTTATGTGCCGCTGAAATAAATAAAAGCCAGGTTGTTCACAAAATGTGTTGAAATTTCATTATTAATTCTAAAATGAGTTATATTGTAACTGTATTTGCACTACGGCACCAGTCTATTGAAATTTCATTATTAATTTAATACCACTGCAATAGCAAATTAATTAGGAAAAAAAACAATAATCAACTTTCTCAAAAATAGGTGCTAATAGAACAGTAAGCGTGAGTTTCTTCACTATGTTTTCGACTGGAACAATAACAGCTAGTTGGGTCACTCAGTTGTTTTCTACTGCAGCAGTGAAATTGAATTTATTTCATCTAACTTGCTTGCAGTTGTATTATTAAAAGTCAATTTCTTCACAAATTTGTAAGTTATTGTATATATAGAAATCATTTATTTCAATAAAATGGTCGGTACAGGAACAGAATTATTGTCTTTTTGCTTAATGGGCGCTGCTACTACAACAGGAAAGGTCAATATTTTCCACTAAAGTCGGTGCTACTGCGATGTAAGTATGTCTTCCATGAGAACTAACACTCAGACTATTCAGTCAAGAAACGGAATTTTCCTTTTGGAAATATTTTAGTTTAACCGCTTCTGTGGTCTAAGTGGTTATAACTTCCGTCTTAGATGCTGGAGATCGCGGGTTCGAACCCCGGCCGAGTCATACCAGATACTTAAAAAATGGTAATAACAGTAGCCTCATTTGGCGCTCAGCACTAAGAGGTTAGTGTTAAAACTGGTTGGATTATTGTCAGGATAATGTGACTGGGTTAGTGTTAGGACTGGTCAGCCTGATGTCAGGATAATGTGACTAGGTTAGTGTTAGGACTGGTCAGCCTGGTATCAGGATAATGTGACTGGGTTAGTGTTAGTACTGGTCATCCTGGTGTCAGGATAATGTGACTGGGTTAGTGTTAGGACTGGTCAGCCTGGTGTCAGGATAATGTGACTGGGTTAGTGTTAGGACTGGTCAGCCTTGTGTCAGGATAATGTGACTGGGTTAGTGTTAGGACTGGTCAGCCTGGTGTCAGGATAATGTGACTGGGTGGGTGATCATGCTACATGTCGGCGGCATGATGCCAATGCTAGACATCATTATAAAATGCCACCCTGTAGACATGATAACGATATGACTCAAATTGTTAAAGTTAAGTTAAAAACTTTACACACATACACACACCTTTTGGTGAGTAAAAAAATAAACTTGCTTTTACCCTAGCTGTGGTATCAATTTCTTGATGATACTGGACATATAACTTTTCCTATAGCACTGAATTGTACTATTGCAGTAACATTTTTATGAAAAAAGCAAACATTTACAGTTGCAGTAAAACATAATTAAGTATAAATAATAGTCACATTTACTGTGGATTTGCCATTTAGCACACTAAGCACGTGCTTAGAGGACACAGCCCAACAGGGGCGCCACAAAAATTCAAATTAAATGTTGAAGTTAAATTGAATGAATTATATCTGAATATTTCCAGCTGTAGGAACGAGTATTTTGATTTGGAATGATGGCAACGCTGATCTTTTCCTACCTTTTTAGCTTTCAGTATTGTTTTCTGTTCATTTCTTTTTTGAAAGGGTTGTTGATTTCATTTTATTTTCAAGGCGGGTGGGATGGGATAGGCACCATAATAGTGTGAGTGCTTAGGGTCCTGGTAAGCCTTAGGGTCCTGGAAGGCCTTAGGGTCCTGAATGGCCTTATTCCGACCCTGGGAGAAAATATAGTACTACCTTAGTTTTTTGTATGGTTCATTACTCTCGGTATACTATGAGTGACGCATTTGACCCAATCTGTGTAGCAAGAAAGTTTGAACTCTACTCTATGTATGGGATTTAGTTCACCTGCATAATTAACTTATTCTAAACTATTGATGGCTATTGAAGACATGCCAACAATGAGAGAAGAATTTGACATCATCGATGGAAAAGTGACCATTTATATGGCGTACGTTGTACTTCCAACGGAAGAAGACAATAACCGCCATTGATCTGTTTATTGATACGTTTTCCTAGCACAATGGAGAGTACAGAAGATTTAAGAATAAAAGAGAGTACGTGATGGGAAACATCTCCGCTGAGACAAGTGTTAGCTGACCAGATTTTAAACAGCATGTGTGACTGATATAAAGAGAAACATAAGCTTTGTTCTATTTGATTGTTTGTTACTTGTTTTGTTCAAGCTTTTTTTTCTTAAAAATGGACATTAATTGTAGTATGAAAAGTGTCATTCTTTTATGAAATGCATATACGTTGTATATAAAGTGGATTTTTTTTAAGACATGAACTTTACATTTTAAAAGCAACTTTTCTAGAACCAAGAACTAAATAACTTGTAAAAAGGTTTGTTTCACGTCCAAATGTTTATTTATTAAATGGATTGTGTTTAGACCATATCACAGGCTTCTTTGTTTGAATGTGTATTTGTTTGTTTCTATATGTCTATGTTCCTATCAACCTTTTGTCCCTACAACTACATTTCACCCTATAAATAGTTTTGACCCTATAAACCCCATGATGCCATAAATGTTCAAGTCCCATTGACCTCATGTTAAATTCCCACTGACACCAGTTTTGATATAGCCATTTTTAACGTTAAGGTCCCATTGACACCTAAGGTGGCGCAATCTCTTGTCGCTATGATCAATTCCCCATTCACTCCATGTTAAATTTCACATGTTAAATTCCCTTTGACGCCAAAGTGGCACACAATCTTTTTGGCTGGGATTTCCAATGACGCTAAAGTGGTCCTGTATTCCCATGTTAAATTCCCATTGTCGCTAATTTTGATGTACCCATTTTTAACATTAAGATCCCATTGTCACTAAAGTGGCACCATATACTACTAGTACCATTTTTATAAGTCTTTAGTACGACTCGGTCTGATAATTTACGGATGTACCTTATGATAGATATTCCAAGTCCAATAATTTACAGATGTACCTTATGTGAGATATTCCATGTTCGATAATTTACATATGTAACTTATAACAGATATCCCAAGTCCGATTATTTGCAAATGCGCCTTATGTGAGATATCCAAAGTCCGCAAATTTACAGATGTACCTTATTAGAGATAGCCTAAGTCCGACAATTTACAGATTTATCTAATGGGAGATATCCTGTGTCCGATAATTTACAGATGTATCTAATGGGAGATATCATGTGTCCGATAATTTACAGATGTATCTAATGAGAGATATCCCATGTCCGATAATTTACAGAGGTATCTAATGGGAGATATCATGTGTCCGATAATTTACAGATGTATCTAATGAGAGATATCCCATGTCCGATAATTTTCAAATATACAAATTATGACTAGTTAATAGCATCACGCAAAATACAATTATTTTGATCAACATGGATCATACGACCAATGTACTAATAACATATATTATTCAAGGCAAGGAAGACATACAATACAATATTCATACCAACCACGCACACACTCACACATACACACAAACACACACGTGCACGCGCACACGCGCTCACGCACACATTTGTACAGCATATTTTAGCTATTATACTACACGTCAGGCTGTATGTAAATTCTGATTTTCTTCAATTATTTCAATTACGTAAAGCTGAAAACTAAAATGGTATTGTAATGAGAGAGAGAGAGAGAGAGAGAGAGAGAGAGAGAGAGAGAGAGAGAGAGAGAGAGAGAGAGAGAGAGAGAGAGAGAGAGAGAGAGAGAGAGAGAGAGAGAGAGAGAGAGAGAGAGAGAGATTTCACCACTTATGGGAAGCAACTCTTACACGTTTCAAACGCTCAAAACATACCATTGTCTATCTCCCCTATCCTGCTTCTAAGAAATAATGAACCAGGAACCAGAACACGGATTTCAGCTTAAAAGCGTGTATATTAAAAAAAAAATCGTGAGGCCAAATGGCTAATTTCTTTTTACTGTCGGGTGTTTGTTAGAAAAAAACATATCATTTTTTACATGCTGGTCGAGAAACTGAAGACTGCCCACCAGTTGGTCACAAAGAAATATAAAAATGCATATGTCGTCTAGAATTGTGTTTCCTATAATTGCAGAATAAAACATTAGCGAGAGAAAGTACGCAAAATATACAACTATACACAAAACTAAAGATACGGCTAATAAAATCAAATAAAACGGATGATGTAATTATTCATGCGTAAGAAATCTGTTTGTAACCAATTAAAATATTATTATTTTGGGAGAAATGAAGGAAATATTTAAAGATGCTATTGAAAAAATAAATTGTAACTACTTCCAAAGTTAATAAAAATACTACTACTACTACTACTACTACTACTACTACTACTACTACTACTACTACTACTACTACTAAAAATAATAATAATAATAATAATAATAATAATAATAATAATAATAATAATAATAATAATAATAATATCAACATTAATAATAATAATTATTATTATATTTATTATTATTATTATTATTATTATTATTATTATTATTATTATTATTATTATTATTATTATTATTATTATTATTATTATTATTATTATCATCATAATCATCAGCATCATTATTATTATCATCATCATCATCATCATCATCATCATCATCATTATTATTATTATTATTATTATTATTATTATTATTATTATTATTATTATTATTATTATTGAAATATAATATTACTATGTTCTTAAGGATACTAATGGCATCTTCCTCTTGTTATTCCTCTTAATAATTTGAAGAGACAGAGACACTGACACATAGATAGATAGATAGATAGATAGATAGATAGATAGATAGATAGATAGATAGATAGATAGATAGATAGATAGATAGATAGATAGATAGATAGATAGATAGATAGATAGATAGATAGATAGATAGATAGATAGATTATGGAGAGTGCATGTAAATTAAAGTAATGCTAGTATTGATATTAGTGTTTCTACTATTAAAACAACGTTTAAGAAAGATTTTGAATATGGATTTATACAAATTACACTTGAAATATATAGATTTACATTGGAAATATATAAAATTACATTGAAAATATGTCGAATTATGTTGGAAATATGCCGAATTACATTGAGATCATTGACCAAACGTTATTATTTGTAATTAAAATCAAGTTTGAATCACAGTATTAAAATTCGAAGCCGTGATCTACCCAATAATTTTTATAGCATTCCGGTTTCCTATGAAAGGAAATCAAAGTATATAGGATTAATTATAGAATGATCTGTATAATAGTATTATTTGTATCAAATATTAATTCTGCCTACTATAATCAAACATTCATCTTTAGAATCCAGGGACAGCACTCTCCGTTTTATATATTTTATATTTATAATTCTATAATTCTATGATACATCCTATATACCTTGATTTCTTTCATAGGAATCCGGAATGTCTGTGTAGATAGATGAGAATTAATTATTGTGTCGTTATGCGAGTGTGTCTGCTACGCACGAGTGCGTATAACACCGAGTCAGTCGCATCATTTTTGGTGCTTAGTCGTGAAGGAATATGGGCTGGTGCGTGCAGGTAAGGGTGCTGTGTACCCGTTGACTTGGGTTCGAATCTACTTAGAGTACGAATTAAAATTCTCTAACCTATATGATAGTATTATTTGTATCTACTATTATCAAGAATTCTTCTATAGAATCCAGGGATAGCACTTTCAGTTCTGTCTG